CAGATCGTAAGAGGTTAAGGAGTCTAGGTGAAGACACAACAGTCAGATCTATCAAGATCTCCATTTCCATGCAAAGCCTCACTGATCTCAGCCACAGTTCCCTGGAGCTCTTTCCGAGGAGATTCAATTACAGAATCAGAGCTTATGTCTGAAAGCTCTTTTATCCTAGAGCAAGACAACAGAAACTGGCAACTTTCTACCATGTTACACAAAAGTCTGGCTTTGCTGGAAAAAGAAATTTGATTTGACAGACACAAAACCAGAAGCCATTTCTCCAAAACAATTATATAGAGAAAGGAAGTAAAACAATTCTCTTCCTCATTCTCATGAGGAAGCTCTGCTTGCTCTGCTCTCTCTTACCTCAGTGATACTTTGGAGGAACCAGCTGCTAATTCTCCGTGGCCTAGTCAAGCCATTATCCATTTGCTGAGGTTGCCTCAGGAAGGCAGCTGTATAAACACAAAGGCTACCAGATCAAATCAGCCCTTGGTTCATTTCGCCTAATTTTCCGACTTCAGAGGAAGCTACAAAAAAACCTTACTAGAACATCTGCCCAGGAGAACGTTCCTTAGTACTTCCATCAGTGAGATAACTTAGATGTGAAGCTGGAGAACTTGCATCCTTACCTAAGCTTTCCTGTTTTCAGTACTTAACGATGATTCTAGAAATTCTTGCCATTGCTAGAGATGTTGAGTCCTTTTTCATAACTTGACTGCAGCCCAGGTATTACATTATAAATATGCGTTAGGAAAGGCAAGAATCCCTGTCAACAAAACTGCTAGACACACAGGAGATGAGCTAGGCAAGCACAGTAGAGAAAGTCTTAAATACCAACCTTTCTAAATAAAATGTCTAAGGTTTTACAATGTGAAATTAGTAACAAACAACTGAAGTTATGTTCATAAATAAAAAAAAAAACAGCAAGCAATTAATAGTTAAAGTTTCAAGAGGTAGCTGCCAAGGACTAACAAAGTATAATTAGTAAGATATAGTAAGCGACACTTGCAGAACCATCGTACCTAGCTATGGGACAGGAGAGAAACGGATGTGAATAGTCACTTCTTAGCAATAAAAAAATTATAGACTCAGGGCAGGATCTTAAAATTAGCAATGAGCTTCTCAGGAAAGTGTATGACAGTCTGGATCAGCATCCGTTCAGTTAGTTCTAACAGACTGCTGATTGGCTCGTGGTAACAGGAAGGAAGTGTGAAGTCTAGATCGCTGCTGTTTTTAATTTTGCCTTAAAACCGACTCTGATATCTATTCAGTCATTATCAAACTTTACGGTGGTTAAAAAAACAGCAACAATCTGCCCAGATGTGGGGCATGCCACAAGTTTTTTATAACATTTTTCCAGTTCACTTCCCTACAGTGCACCTTGCTTCTCAGTGCACGCAGAGGGAATGACATAGATACGGATTTCTATTAGTTGTATAAAACCTATATAAAGTATCTGTATTTCTTGCCCTGCTAGGGAGACATATTAACATTTGCAGAGTGCTCAGAGCTTTAGGTAAGTTATTACTACTTCTGCGTAGCAAGAACAGTTTATAAGCAGGTAATGAACAAGCTAAGCATGGTTCTGTGAACAGTTTCATCCGGTTACGTCTGTGACAGAACCACTCATTCCCACACCCGTCCCTGTAAAGGGTTTGCAGTCCTCCTGGAAGAAGTCACTAATTATTACTCTACGAATTAAGACTGTCAGCATGAAACAACTCTTTGTAACGCGCCTTAAAAA